TGGAGCGGTACGGGAATCGGCAGAAGCGGCAAGTATGCAGACGCAGACTGGCGAAAGAATGCTGAAATTGAAGATGCGCTGCACTGGATGCTTGCATAACGAATCTCGGTTGTGTGTGTGGACTGTGGATTGCTTATTGTACTGTGTGGTGTTATCAATGGTTATTGTTAGAGGCTTCTGTTGACAACTGGATCTGGAACAAGCGGGCATATTCGCTGGGTCTTAAAGTTAATACCTAGAAAATGAATTCAGTATAAATATTTCCGGAATGTTCAAGCAATTTTAAGTACCCAATTATTTTAAATTTCCTTGAATAAACTTTAAGTATAAATTAATAACACATTAAATTCCACTTTTAAAATAGTTTAAACACATTTTGTATACTTCCCATTTTTATCCGTTTGTTATTTTATTTTCCAATTATATTTCGTTGACTCTCTGTTTAAAATTATAATTATATCAAATTTTACGTTGACACTAAAATATTTATTATCATGTAACTAATTAAGATTTTATAATGCCCTAAACAGCTTTTATTCACTTGCTCATCAAATCACTTCAAAATTCATGTTGTAAAAGACATCAATAAAATGTAATGACTAATTAAAATTAATCAATATAAAGCTAGTGATTTCTTATACAACACTTTTATAATTTTTGTGAGTAATAAATTTAAATAGTTAATAAAAAATGACGTTGAATACTTAAAAGGTATTTCTTAAGCTCTGAAAGGGATTAATGGTTAAAAAAAAAACAAATATATTAAGGTGTTAAATAGAAAGGGTATTCCAAAAACCTGAGATCTGTTTTATCGAAATTCCCGGGTGTTATTGCATCGTCTGCCGCAATGTCTCCGCCTGGCAGACATTTTCTCCGGCTCCGACTACGTCTTTCCATCCAGTTTTCCATCTCCCATCTCCACCAGCAATATGCTTCTTCCGTCGTGGTCTGGACCACCGTTCCACGTCTATGAGATGGCATCCCGAGAGGAGCACATGGGCATGTCATTTCTTGGCTTCGTCGAGCATCTTTGGCATTTCTCAAATTTGCTTTTGTCTTTGGATTGGTATTTCCCCACAATCCCAACTCGAGTTTGTGTTCCTCATTTTACTTTTTGCTGCAGATTTATAATTATTCATTGGTTTTTGCAGCCTTCATCATCGGTTTAAATGCAAATGAAAATTCACATCACGTATACGAGTAGTGGGCCTAATGAGAATTGCCATATTATTACGTCTGAATGGGGTAAGAAAATCCTTATAATGCAGCAGGAAAATAATAAATTATTTGCATGGGTTATATGAGAAACTAAAAACTGTATAATGGAATAATTAAAATATTACCCTATTACTATTCTGCAAAGAATTCGATTTATTAGTCGGTCAAAATACCATTTGAATGCTCTTAGTTATTTCACTTATTTTTCCTCCTCACAAATGCAGCTCATTATTTGGATAAAAACGCGCCTGTCAAAATTGAATAGGGAAAAGCCTCTCGTTGGCAAAGAAAATAAATAAACTAGGCAAAAAGAAAAGAAAGAAACACAATGGCAGTTGGTCTATTAGCAGAGCGCAGGCTGCCGCCGCATAATGAAAGCGAAAATTTAAATTTTTGATACAATTTGCAATTTTTCCGCGCCACTTTTCCCCCTCCCCCCCACCAACTCCCACTTCATACCCAGCTCCACTCCATCATTCAGCGATCTCCTCCAGTTTTCAGTTGCCAGTTGGCAGTTTTTTCAGTTTTGTGCCTCAGTTTTCAGTTTCCAAGTTGCCCACAAGCGGCGCAACAGTCGACAAGTCGACAAAGAAAACAATTCATCATGTTGTACATGGAGGAACCTTTTGGTTTTCCTCGAAGTCGGAGCCCCGGCTTCAATTTATGCGGCGCTTAAATCGATTGCTTTGCCACATTGCGGCAATTGGATCGGTGGTACTCCTCCTCTTTGGTTCGAGCCCCTCTGAAAACTGCGCAAAGTCGTTGTCGTTGAACCGTAAAACTGAAATATGAAGCGGTACACAGGGGGTATGGGGGTTTTTGGGTGATGCTTTTGCGGGTGGATGGGATCGGATCGAGTGCCAAGAGCCTGGCATCGCGTTGAGTGACCACGGACCACGAACCGCGGAACAGGCTCTTGCTTCATTAAGCTATTCATCCATCCATCCATCCAACCAGTCAGCCATCCAGCGATACCCAGTGCGATCCACTCGGTGCGATCGTGTTGTTTTATTTCACTCTTAAATTTGCGCTAACTAGATGTCGCAATTGAAAGTAAGCTGTCAAATATTATCGGCGGGGGTGTAGGAGTAGGTGTATTCAAGCGGCGGCATAAAGCCTCATTATAATGAAGAAAAGGATTCCAATCGAACGCTGTGCAAATGGCAGCTCAGAGTGGTAAAAATTTTTCAGGAATTTCATTTACACTAAAACGAAAAGACATGTGGAAATGTTTAATGAAAGGATTACATTTATGGGAAGATCATAGACCATTCAATCATAAATACTTTCAATAACATAACCGGGGAAATTCATAATAATAAACTTTAAAATATAATTTTCAGAAAAAGAAAAAAACAATAGCCCAATGAAAAATTAAAAAAAAAAGTGTAAAATTTCAAAAACTATTAATTATGCTACGAAAATTTTATAAAATATTTGAAAATATTTAGGTTCTTGGGCAAGAATATATCTAAATTTTCTCATCAGCTAAAAGAAAGTTAATTAATATTAATTCTGATTTCACAAAACTCACTGCTAAGGTTAGGATAGATAAAAATTTTCCAAGAAAAGGGGCTAACATTTAGCTAAAGCTTAAAGTTCAATAGTCTGGCCTTGGCAAAAATGAAGACCTAGCATTTAACATTTGAGGTTTTTGATTTGTCAATGTCGATGGACTCGAAAGGCGATAATTTAGCACGAGTTGCTAAAAGCATTGGTTCGATTGCGTAAGAATTCAAGTTTACCACTAGAGAATGCTGGCCATTTCGATAATGATCGATTCGTTTTCCGTGCAATTCTAAAAACACAACAATGACGATCCTCAATTGAAGTTCAAGGCCAAACGTCAAGGACTTGTTCAATTGTTTTGAGCATTCGCGAACGGTCTCTTGACCAAAAAAGCCCCTCGAAAGTTTACTTCAACAAATGTGCAAATTTAATTACCGAATCAGAGGCGAAGCCTTCAAAGTATAAGTAATGCCCGCGGCTAGACAAATATCGAAAACCAGAAAAGAAAGGTTGTCCGAAGTTTCCAATACCCTTGTCAAAATCTTTTTTACCAAAACATTCCAGTTTCAGGTGACAGGTATATTTTCGTTTTAAATCCGCAAATTACTTTAGAAAAAACCGAAGCTGACATATTTTTCTCGCTGGTTTAAATAAAAGAGCCTGGGGCCACGAGTCAAAGAACATGGTAAATCTGTCGGATTTCTTAGGAGCTCAACTGCTTGGCCATAATTGTTAATAATAATTTATGCTAATTTTTTTAGCACCTTTTGAGCCCGGCCAGCAGCGTTTCACCAATTCATAATGTTTGTGATTTGTAAGACAAACAAAAGACGGCCAGCGGAGTCGAGAGCTGCTGGCGAATTCTCATTTTTTTTTGTTTTTTTTCGGAATGTGGCCAGAAGAAACGTGTTTTCTAACAAAGGCCGACGCTTAATGGGTCGACAAATACAAGCCGCAATAAATAAATAATAAAAAGAAAATGCCCAAAAGGGAGGGGGCTGCTGGGAATCGTAAAGGTAAAGTCTAGAGTCGTATATATGTGGGCGATGATCTCACCATTTAATTGGCCCCGAAACCAAACGAATCTCGCTGTTGGCCCTGTCTTCCCCCTAAACTTTCTTGTTATGGATGTGGCGCGCGCTCTGACTGAATTCGGAAGATGAATGGTTCGTCTACGGGTGGTGGAAATTAAAATAAATCTCACTCGGGCAACCCAACCTTATCGCGTAATTTCGTTAAATCGTAATTGTTTATGCAAATTCCGATTGTCTGACGCTGACGCACCGAAAAAGACAGTCAGGCTATAATGCATTTCCACTTAATGCATTTGGACAGTGCGGAAAGCGAACGAACGAATTTGCATTAGAATTGTGATTGACAGTCGGCGCACATGGCGTATACGCAATTATGGATGCGAGTGACTATTCTGACATTTCCTAGATTTCTTTCGCATGGGCTCGAGCTCCATTTCTGAAATATGGCTGCCCTAGGGTTCTAAATTAGATCCATGGAATTGAGAACGACATTTTGGGCAAATGTCTTTACATCACCCTAAATAAAATCACTGCTAGATGGTTTTTAATTAACCCATTTTTAGTCATTTGCACATCCGGCAATTCGGGCAGGAAATGACTTCCAAGCGCCAGCCAAGATTGAAAGGCACATTAAATAATTCCAAAAGTAACTCGTCAATGCAAACAAATGCCAAAAAATTATGGTACAGTGGGGGGCTAATAAGATGGTTTTGTTTATGAAAGTTAAATTATTATAAAATTCATATTTTATTTTAAGAAAATGTAATTAAATGTTTATATATTTTGTCAAATATTTAAGAAAATTTTCATGATATTTACCATATTATTTGTGTATGAAAAATAACAAAATGCAATAATGATAATTATCTAATCTATTCTGTCGATAAAAAAGTATAACTACTTAACCACAATTTTAAAATGTAACCTTTTATTTTTTATAAAATTTATTTCTGTAAATAAGAATATAATTTTTCGAGGCCCCACTGTCTGGCTAAAAACAGTTGCCAAACACGGCTTACAGTTAACGATAATGATACGACTATGATGATGATGTTATTAGGAGCAGAGCCCGTTTGTCTCTCAGACAGAACGACGACAAGATTGCGATCTCGGCGGCCTAACTCCAGTTTATAAATTTTGTATTTTTCTCAATTTTTTTTTTTTTTTTTTGTTGTACACCTAATTGATTTAATAATCAAGGTTTTAAAGCGGCTTCTCCGATTTTTTGTATCGTTTCAGGTCTCCAAAGAAGTTGGCGAGTGGAGACTGCGCTCACCACGAATGCCGCTCTCCGGCGAGAGAGCGGACGGGAAATTGGGGGAGAAAGAGTGGGGAGAAACCACTTTTTCTTGGCGCCGCGACTTCAGTTTGAAATTTTCTCTCTGAGAGTCTGAGTTACGCTCTCCGTTACGTTTTGGCTACACTTACGTTTGGGTTGGATTCAAATATTGTCTTATTGGAGATTCGTCGCTCGGTCGGTTCGGTTCGGTTTCGGTTCGCATTCGAGAGTGAGTACTCACTGAGTACTGAGTACTTCATACTGAGTACTGAGTGATTTAGTGCGCAGGCGTCGCGTTCGAGATGCTGGGATAATATAATGCTGATGTGAAAAGTTCATTCCCCAAAAAAGCCACAAAAGTCCGGTCTGAAAAGTGTGCAAAAAATAAAATGAAGCCAGAAAGCAAAACAAAAGGAGGAAAAAAGAGATAAAACTCTGCAAATACGGGTTTCGTTCTTATCGCGTTCTCCTCGGTTTTGTATTTTATTTTTCTGTTCGCTGTCCAAGTGCTTGACCATTAAAAGAACCTTTTGCACACACACACGCGCGCGGAGTGCCAGATCCTTAAGCCTCAACTTGGCGTTATTTTTAGACGGTTAACGAAAAAATCTGGGAAAGCCAGACCAAGAAACCGAGAAACCCGCCAGCAGAAAGGCAACAGCAACAGCAGCAGAAATGGGCACCAAGTCACCCGGTGGTCCACAGCGCTGCCGTCTGATCTTGCAGCGCTGCCTGGCCATTCAGCTGACCAAGCCCGGCCACACGCCCGAGGACTTTTGGATGTACGACTCGGGATATATGATATTTCAGGTGAGTTTCGATTGGTGCACCAAGAGAAAATGTATTAAAAAAGGGTCTAAGCTCAGTAATCTCTTTTTTTTCGCATAAGCAATTAAAGTTCCCCCGAATCACCTCACTTTTTAATAGAATATTTTTAAAAGCTAAGATCTTAGTCTGGTATTTATAGTTCACAAAGCCATTTTACTGAAACATATCCAACCAACTAAACAATCTGTTCAGATTTATGTGACACCGCAATTTAGTCTCAGAAAAGTGCTGTGTTTTTTGAGTTTGGCTGCAGCGCATTAAAATGCTTTACAAGTTTAGTGGTTTTAAAAAAAATCATACTCAAAATGACTAATGTGTTTACAAGTTATTTATTTAGGACAAATAACTAATTTTAAGATAAATAAATTGGATACATCATTTGTTCGTGGGTTATAAATTCATGCGTTATTAATAATAATATTTAAATTAGGCTTAGGGAGGTAATTTTGAAACTATAAATAGGTAACTATAAATGGTTTTTAATTTACCTAAATTCTAAGTTCTCAAAGACCTCTTCTTCTAATTTTTCTGAGTGTGGCCCCCGCGTTGCTTTCAGCTTCTTCTGCTTTTAATGTGCAAGGAACTGGTTTGCGAACTGGTTGTCCAGTTTGAACTGCAAAAAGTGCGTGAGGCCGAGCGAGGGAGAGGGCGATACTCGGCGCGAAAGAGACGGCCGATGGAGGCGAGGTGACGATGGACTGAAACTCCCGCTCAAGGTCGCTATGTTGGGGGTTTCGGGTGGCGTTTTCCTTTATTCGCGACCACTTCCCATGAAAATAAATGGCCCGGAACGAGCCGGGGGAACAAATCGCCCTAACAGGTTGCTCGGTTCCGTTTTGCAGGGCGTCATCTAGACTAGACCCAGACTGCCACAAACATTGCACTGCATTTGCAACAACCATATTGCACTTGCAACATTTGCCATTTTCGTGGCTCTTTCTTTATTACCCGCCGCCTTTGTTATTGATGACATTCGAAAAGAAGCCAAAGTCTCCGAAACTTTTTGGCCAGGAAGCCGTTTGCGTCCCCTAGATAATACTCGAAAAATACATATATATTCGTTTAAATAACTTATGAGTTCATGGAACCCTTAGGCAGTCGATTGTTAGTATTTTTCGATGATATTTTAACTCGTTTCGTAGCCGCTTGAAAAAGAATTTAAATTTCAAATTAGTTTATTTTCCGACCTTTTGTTGGGGCTGCTGCTTCCGACGTTTTTGAGCTTTTTCGGTGGCTGATTTTTATTGTTGTTCCTTCCCATTGTTTATTGCACAAATTGACACTCGACATGACGTCACTGCCGGCCTGACAAGTTCAAGTTTGAAGTGTTAATTGACGATGTGCCACATGATGAGTAAAAAATTGGAAAACTTTGAATAGTTTGGCTAATGGTTCACTTTGAATGCCGGTTGGCAACTTTGATATTTCGCATGCTTTAGAACTGGTATTCAAAATGAAAAATGACCATAAAAACAAGTATTTGTAAATACATTTTATTTACTGTCAGTAATAAAATATTTTATCTTCAGCGAGTTATAAAATGACTGTATAGATTCCAATCTTTATTATTCCTTTGTCTGAAATATAAAATTTATAAAAACAATTATTCTTTTATTTTTTAGTATTTACCTTAGTATAATGACAGTGAATTTTACAAGATTTTTTGTTCATTTTTGGCCAGACAATGTCCATTGACAACACCTCTCTGTGAATCACTTATTTTACTCACAATGCAGGCTAATTTCAATTTAATTGCTGGGCTGCCAAAAAGTGTGAAACATGAAAGGCAGTGCCGCTTTTTTGTTGTCTTTTATATTTTTGTCAAGCTCAATTTCAGTTGTTCTCGTTTGTGTTGTTTTATGCTGTGTTTTCTTTTCTTCTTTTTTTTGCATAGCCTTTTGGGTTTTTGCATTTTGCATACTAAAAAGTGTCGCATAAACATTCCCTTGAGTCGATTTTTTTGGCTCAGTTTTTCGTGTGTATATGGAAGGCACAACATAACAATCGCTGGGCATTCATTTCGAGCTGGGCTAATTAATAATACGTGCCTCTGTTCGGTCTGTAAAGTTTACCCGAAGATAAGAGCCAATGCAAAGCGTGCCCTGAATAGAACTATGAACCAAACGAGAGGCAGGCACATGATGATTTAGGGGCCAAAAGCATTTAGGGCAGAGCTGGAATGAAAAGTGCGTGAATTGATGGAAGAAACGAACGAAAAGACGACGAGAACATGAATGGGGAAATGCAATGCCCATTGATGAATGGGAAGCCGAAAGAATTCGACTCGGGGCAACGATAATGCAGCCGAGTATTTTATCGTAAATTTCCAAGCTCAATGAAGTGTGAATTATGTAGATTGAGGTGCCGGCGCTTCAAGTTGAGGAAGGGAAATAAAATATATATACTCCCTAGGGCGAGTCTTCTGCACAACCATCGACCATATCGAATGGGCAAGAGTTTCCGGTGCGGTTGCTCAAGTTTTAGGGCGTGCCATAATTTAACAACTTTTTTGTGCCGCTGAGAAAACGCTTACGAGACAATTCGGGAAGGTTAAAGAATAACAATGGCCGTGTATATATTGTCTTATTACTAATGTTTTTCCTTATGTTTGTTCACTTTTAAGATTTTTATTGTTAGTTTGTAAGACAAAATGATTAATGTTAAATGTTATATCTATAGTGACTGGTGCCATAATTAAAAGGCTCACCTTGCCTGTAGCACCAGGATAAAACTAAAATAAAACTAAACTAAACTAAATGAGCCTATGAAAAATATATTTATTATGCCCATAAAAAGAGTACAGTAGTCATTTTATAAATTATTAAAAAACTAAAAACCTTGAGGGCTTCACCATATTACGTGTAAAATCAGAAATAAGACTTCTGGAGTTCTAAAATGGAGTTCTTAATGAGATTTGATTATTTTGGGTGTAATTTACTAAAGTAAGTAATACAAACAAAGACAATGCATACCTTTAATAAATTGTTTAGGAAATTTTTATTTAAAATTTACAGTAATTTTAAATTCTATCAATACAATATATTTATATTACCAGTACCAGCTGTCTTCAGTTATTAATTAAGTTGTAAGCGATAGCAAACCTTTTAGCACTAACTAAACTTTTACAGACTCAAGTCGACATTAACACATCGATAAATCATAAGGAAGTCTGTGTTATATACCAGCCATATATTCGTTACCTTCCTAACGACCATATAAAGCAAACGCAATGAATATAATTAAAGCTGCGAAAAACATATATTTTTAGCAATAATAAATGCGCTGAAAGGAGACAAAGCCCATAAAGTTTCTCCTATTTAAGCGCTGAGTTTGGGCCCTCGTTGCCGTTTTCTCAGTTTTCCCAGTAAAGCTCTAAATGTCAGTTGGGCCGGGGAGGAAACTGATTTAAGGCCGCAATGGCAGACTCAATTTCCAGGCATTTAAAATCTGTTTTTATTATTTGCGCAAATTTGTCAGGCGTGCGGCGTGGCTCAAGACTTGGAAGTTGGCAAAAAAAAAAAAAACTAAACAAAAAACTAAGGTAACGAACAACAAACAGCCGAAGACCGACTTGACTCCAAACTCTGATCTCCTGAATGCCCCGAGCTGATCTCTGAACTGTTTCGTTGTTTCGCTATTTTTTCTGGCTTTTTGTTTTTATTTTTGTGGCTTTTTCTGTTGCCGTGTTTAGTGTTCGGTTTCAGTGTTTAGTGTCCGACTGCACGCAAATGACTTCACCTAAATCAACTTGTTTTAGTTGTGCTTTCGGTGCTCCGAGCCAAATTAATAAGCCTGCAACAAGTTTTGAAATAGCTCAACGGATGCGAGCTGATTGCGTCATGTCTAGAGCGCGGGAGTTTCTTTCTGCCAACCTGAGAACCGCCAGCATGAGATTTGCAAGGCAGGTCCATAAAATCTCAAAAAGAAAAACAAAAAACTTAAATGAACTGTTAGCAAAAGCAAAACTGGCTCTGGAAATATCACCGAGAAATGGAAAGTCTGGGAACGGAGTTGTTTTTGATCGGGCTAGAATGAATGAAGGTAAACCTGTGATCGTTAGGAAACAAAGCGATTTGGGAAAGGAAGGTTGAGTCGGACACGTTGAGAGGATATCCTTCACAGGCTTATGGGATTTAACACGGGAATCATTAATTACATCTGTCAGATTTTTTCATGTTTCATGAGATCACACATATTATTCAATAATGATAGATTGTTAAAAAAGATTGTAATAAAATTATATTATTTTAAAACTTAACCTAGTTAGTAACAACTGTTTTATACTCCTCCTATTTTCTTAATCAAGATTATTTTAAATACCAACTGAGTTGACTGAGTGCAATTACAAAACCAATTACTTATTTGTCATCTTCCCATTAAGAGTCCGATTTTCCCACTTCCTACTCATATTCTAAGAATCTGTTTCCTGTAAAACTCTAGCTCCAGAATCAATTTACTCGAGATGGACAGTAACATTCACCGGTTAGGACGGAACTCCGATACCCCGATAATGTTCAAATACAATTTCATGCAATCAGAGGGAAAATAAAGCGAAAAAAAGAGCCAAGCAAATTGATTTATCGGTACGCAGCTCCTACAAACGGGGAGAAAGAAAAGAGATTTGAATTGTTATTAACCCCTTCCATTTCTCCCCCTCTCCTCTTCGATTGCTTTGATTGGGTTTAATGAAATTGAATCGATGGTGCAATCGTTTAAGCGCAAATTTACTTTTTGTCGTCAGCTGGCTTAATTGGTTGGCGTGCGCCTTATGATTGCTTTTCATTAATTTCGATTGCAATCATCGCCGACTAATTTGATTGACAAACATTGAACGGAGTCGGCTTGCCGCTCCACCTGCTGCCTGCTGCCCCTCCGATTGCATAATTTTCTTCGACAAGGTCGCCCGGGGCCATTGGTGTCCAGTGGCAAACAACTTCAGTTCAAGTTGAAGCTCTCGTTTCTCCTTTATTTATTTATTTGTT